TCAGCAGCTTGATATCTGATAATTAGATATCTATCCATGCTCTCTGGTGCCACATTTACAGGTGCATGTACAGATATTTCCACTTTCTTCAGCTAATTTGCATCTACATTAGCTTACTATTGATATCCATATGGCAGTGTATCAAGCGCTTACTGAAAACCACCTAATTTTATGGTTATTTGGGTATCATCATCCCTGCTTAGCAGCAGAAGACACACAGGGTCTCTCCAAGCCCAAGTGCAGCTCAGCAAGTTTAAACCTTCTCATCTAATAACATGTATAACACCAAACTATGCTTGATAGACAAAGAGCACAGTTATGTATCTTCCACCAGCTTCTGTGGCAGAGAAATGGACACACAAAACAACCCCTTTTTTCCATCCAGTTTTTCAGTAGTAATCTTCATATTCTACCAGCAACTCAGTAGAGCCTCCAAACATGTTACTGTCTTCAGGAAAGCCTGAAAGATGTCAGACTACAAAAACAGAAGCAGTTTTCCTCCAGGGTTTCTTAGCCTGTGAGTATCATCCACCACCAAGACCTTCTGACACTAGCGTGTACGAGAGGCACTTCAGTTGGATAAAAAGAATATGCACTGAGATACCTGTATAAAAAGGGATGCTAGTCAGCAGGAAAACTCCATGCCTACTGTCTAAGACCACCTCTTAATTTACAGTGATACTGGATGCCTTGCTTTGTTACTCATGCAGAGCTGTAATTTCTTCTTCATCTCCTGAATTCTGACCTGTAAAAAGTCTCCCAGCTGGTGTTCGGCGTCCTCTCTTTGGCTCAGAACTGGCTTCTAAAACTGTGAGCCTTGTAGACATACTACAATAACTTTTTAATGGAATTTTCCTGCTCTAGTAAGGACCATACAAGATGTACATTAGCCTAGTGCTTGAAATGAAATGAGAAAATTGCTAATAACATAACTTAAAAATGGCATCAATTCTTTCCCATTCTGAAGTTCATCTGGCATCAAACAACTTATGAAACCACAACCACTCAGCCAAACTTGAATCTAAGATGCCCAGTGTAAGATGAATGACATTTTAGGGCTGAAAGGGGCACAAGCTGGAGAGGCATGCTGTGACACAGTAGGCAGCAGAGAAAACCAGCCATGGAGGATGACAGTGGAAAGGATGGCTGAAATGCAGCAAGCACATTCACCATAAAGAAAAAGAGCTCCGATGAGGCCTGGGAGGTGGCATGGAGGACAGATCACTCACCACAGCCTGCTCTGCTGGCTCAGCAGGGACAGCTTCTTTTTCCACAACAGCAGCAACAGCAGGGGTTTCCTCAGCCTTAGGTTCCCCAGGTGGAGTTTCTTCAGCCTCAGTCTTTTGTTATTGATTTTTAAGTAGATAGTGGAAAAATTGTTGAGGAGCATATGATGTTGGGGAGGAAGAGGGAGAAAGGGAACTGTGCCTGGCACAGTGTTGCTTCAGGCTCAGTCCTGCCAGGCTTTGTCCCCAGTAAAAGACAGCATGTAAAGGGCATTTTCATCATCAATGTTCTCTATGTAAAATGAGCCAATCCTACATGCCTCCCTCACAAGGAAAGCTTCCTGAGTTACAGTGAGAGGTAATGAAAGTGGGGGGAAAGCACCCAGTTTGCTCAAAAATGCTCCAGAGACTGCTGGCAAGGCCAGAAATTGAAACTGGCGCCCATGTGTACCAACCCTAGTCTTCAAACATGAGTTCTAAAAATTACCTCTTCCTCCCTGGTTCTGTCTGTTCTCAGACAATATATCCTCCTCCAGTGAGGGTAAGAAGTAATGAAAAGAGACTGAGACTCAAACAGTTTTTATATGCACAAACAATGAGTGATTGAATACTAGCAATGAATTCTAGCAACCACCTCCGTTTTCTTATTAAAATGCATTCTCTCTTGAGCTCTTAATCACCTACAAGGCACTCATTTATCAACCCCCCCATTGGGATTTTCACCCTTTTAAATTCTGGCCTCCACTTGTTTTCCAACAAGAGTATCTATGAAATATCACCAGCTCTGCAACATGTTCAGTCTTGTGGCAAAATAGCTCATGGCAGAAGAGCAATCTCCAATTGAGACATTATTCTGCAAATACATGCACCTAACAAGGGGAGAGCTCCAAGCTGTGTTCAGCATATTTGATATATAAGATGGCTGACTCAACCAGATTATCATAACTCCAATAGAATAATTTTCCACAAACAAATTACTCAGCATAATATAAAGCTCAAAAGCAATTGCTTTCCAGTTGATAACAGGTTGCTGGCTAGAATGTGGTATCTCCTGTGAAGAAGAGACAGCTTCTATGAAGTTATTTAACATCTTAAAGATCTTCTCCTCCTGATATTTTTCAGGGAAAAAAACAAACATAGCCTTTCAATTCTTTGCATATATTCCTTAAGCAGGCTGATTTTTAATGAGAGACGACATCTCTGTAATGACTTACAGAGAAGTCTGCCTATGCAAGACCTTCAGGATTTGGCACAGCATTAAGGAGCATTCACTCCTATATTATACAATACTGTGCGAAAATTTCTCTGAGTAGTGCATTAATGACAGCTCTAGAGAATTCCATAAGAAGAAATAGGACTGAAAAGAGAAACATAAAGTAGATTTATCCCAGGTAATGTGTTTCCTGACATTTAATGCTGGAAGATTCTTTCAGATTTAAAATCACAAGTAACATAAAGCAGACTACATTGATGTGCTTCAAGTCACTTGAAGAGCATACTTCAGATGACTTACATTGCAGCTATGAGTAAAAATACTCTCAAAATATTAACCATTACAAGCACAAATAACACATTAAATAACATTAAATATCTTCCTGCTGCTATAACTATAGCACTCATTCAGCAATGCTGTTGTTCTCATGCTTTTTCCAGGCTAAGCAAAGACTGTAAGAGAAGCTAAGAAACTGCTGGTAGGATCACTTCCAAGAAGATTGTTCCCTCCTTAGAAGTAGACTGTGCCCACATTTGATATGGTGGTGAGTTGATAAAATTACAGCAATGTTGGAGATATGTAACAGCTATCACGTATTATCAGGTCCTTGCTGTACACTGGACCATAGTGAAATAGAAGAAATTCTAGTAATTTCTTAAATGCAATAAATTAACAAACTGTTTGACAACACCTTTATAAAATAAACATACCTTACAATGTTCTGGTTTTCTTTTCTTTTGCTCTGTATTATCCTTGTGAAAGATTGTTTCAGTGAGTATGGATTTACAACTACAATGATTTCACCAGCTCTTCCAAATGGAAGACTTGCATAAGGTGGTGTAATTTAAGGGATAGAAAACAAGAACAAAAGAAGTGAAAATATCTTTGCAAAAACGAGAAATTGTACCCTTTTTGACAAGACATTTTAAAAGGAACTAAAAGCCACAACTTACCAAAGGTTCTTCCATATTCTCATTTGATTGCACTGTAAATGCAGAGATTTCCTAGACATAGAAATGGAAACACATGAACACAGAAATGAAAAAATAATACAGAAATGAAAAAATAATGTAAAAATATTTGAAACAGTATATCTGCAGGTCCATCAAAGACCTGATTTTTTAATGGTTTATTCAGGTAAAATCACTAAGTACATTTACATATAATAAGATGGCAAATAAACTGAACGAAAATTATATTTATATTTATTTATATTATCTACTATTAACTTTAAAACATTATCTTTTCAGTTTTAGATTCAATGTTTCTAAACCAACATTTTTCACCTTACTAAAGATAGTGAATACTTGTGATTCATATCCTTCATTAAATACACGTGATTCACAAGGACTTCATTTAAGGTGCAATGCACTTCTAAGTTGTGGAACTCTGAATTCTTTTTGTAGATTACACATTGCTGTGCCTGCAGAGTACGCCATCTGTAAGGTACTTTTTGTCTTGATCATTGGCTTTTATTTGAATAATAACTATAGCAATTACAAATACAAAATTTTACCTGTACTAAGTAGAAAAATGGAGGTGTTTCCCAACATCTTGCTCACTTAGAACCAATTAATTTGCAAAAATATTGCTGGGCCAATTATTTTCCTACCACATATGAGAGAGAAAACACGCATTTTCTCCAGATAAACATTTTGCCTTAATTACCAGATCCTTGTGCTTTGCCCTTCCATCTGGATCCATTACTACACCAAATGTCCTGGAACGGAATGGTTAATCATAGGATGTCTCCTAATCATCTCATTTCCATCCTTGTATAAGTTGGGCCTTTTTGGGTACTTTTAAAATTTGGTGTACAGGGTGTGCTGTGGTTGAGTCAGTCTCTAAAAGAATGCTGGAAAATAATGAGGCCCTAGGTAGTCCCCGTGAAATTTGGGATCTTAATACAGCCCTGGAATCTGAAAGCATAAACATGGTGTGTTTATGTGATGTATCTCTGTGATGCATACCACAGACTCACCATCACCAATACAGCAGATAAACAACTTAGGTTAAACTTTGAGAGCAAAATGTATCTTAAGTTAAAATGAAGAAAAAAAAAACAAAACTTACTACAGATTTACACAAAGAGTTACTGAAAATAGGTGAAACTGAAAATGTGCTTAACAGGATTTTGGAATTGTGAGAAAAGTAATCCACAAAAGAGCACAATAAAACAGCTAGACTAACAATTTTAGGAGAAAATAGCTGTCCCACTAAGGTAGTCAGATTTTTTGCTTTAGACTTAGTCAGGCCAAGAGTCCTAAGGCTATTAGAATCTTTCTAGCAACATCTAAGAATTTCTGACAACAGATGAGGTCTGGATTTGAGACAGTATGATGTTTCAATGCAGCTTGTCTGTAAAACAGATTTCCTGAATTTGTATAGCCAGTTCTAGTGCCTTCCTAATAGCACAGAAAAAAATTACCTCAAAACCTGTTTATTTCTTACCTGTGCAAATCCATTAAATGCTATGGTGGATGCCTAAGTAGAAGTGAAGATCAGAACAAATTATCATTTGTTTACTAAATCTGATCATGAGTTAAAACATTTTCATTTGCAAAATAAAAATGTAAGGCCAGACATAAAAAAAAGGAACAAAAAAGAAAAAAACAGAGAAAAAAATAAAATTAAGGGTAAGGCAGCAAGAAATTTTTATAACAGTGGTATTTGATAACAGACATCACAGGCTTAACAAAAATGACAAAAAGAAAAGGAAGAGTACCTTAAGTATTTTTAAAAAACAATAATTAAAAAAAAAGGCCAGGTGCATTTAAAGATCTACAGATAAAACACAAAAGCTGCCAGACAAAATGCTTCTTCACAGTTCAATGCTTCATTCACCATTTTGAAATGTTTTTTTTTTCAGCCTGCTTGAAGGGCTGAAGGGTACCACACCATGAAGAGTTGCATGGCAATTTTTCAAAAAAAGAATAACATGGACTTAGGAATGGTAGTAGGAAACACACAAATGGAATGTTTTTAAACAACAAGCATATGCATGGCCTAGGGAACTCTTTGTCTAGACTATGCTACACACTGGGGTAGGTACCTCTTCTTTATCAGCCTCAATTTCCTGGTACAACAATCCATATCTCCGGTTAGCAATTTCATCTTCAGATAAATCTGAGTTGTTGGTCTCATTGTCTTTAGGACTAGTTGAACTCTCGGTGCTAGCATTTCTGGAATTTCCCATTTGAAACAGAGACAAGGGTCTAGCTATCTCCTTGCTCAGTCCAGGATTGCTCATGCTTGCCTGCTCCCCAGGCAAACCTTGTTTTACTAGTGTCTCCTGAATTATGTGGCCTGTGCTTGCACCTACTTCCCCCCAGCTGCTATCAGTAGCTCCTATGTCTTCTGTAGACCATTTATTACTAATGCCTAACCAAACATTTTCCATGTTACCTTCCTCTGAGTTTTGATCCTTGGGGAAAAAGGGCCAATTATCCAGTCCATTGGCTTGGCTATCTGACCAAACTGAAAAACCCCAGGAATCATTAGTAACTGTTGGATCCCAGTTTGCCAGCCAGGGCTCTGTTTCCAAGGCTTCAGGGACACCACTGCTAATCACTTCAGTGACTGCTGTTGCTGTCCTACTTGTCACTTGGTCATCTGCATTATCTAGGCAAGGATTATCACAGCTTGCGCGAGCAGCATCAGCCTCCTTGGGCAGCAATGCCCACTGTTTTTCAGCAGCAGCTTGACCTTTAGAACCAGTACTACCATTTGGGAGGTGACTGATGCTGTTACCTTCAGTTCCTTTACCAGACTCTTCTGCACTGAATAATTCAGCATCACATAGATCACTTCCAGTATCTGGAGGGTACTTGCCTGTGTGGTCTAGGTCAACATGTGCCCTCATGTTTATATGCTCCATGGATGTACTCTGTCCAGTACCACTGTCAGTTTGATCTAAGGCCTCCTCTAATGTATTTCCATGGTCCTCATCCCAGATACCAAGGACTCTCTCAGGTTCAGAGCCAGTGCCTTCTATAGTTTTACAGTCGTACGCCCCTATTTTGTCCCCACATTCCAGCCCTGTGCTCAACGGTGGTATTTCTCTAGCCATCTCCTCAATGACATTGACCTGTTTTAATTCTTCTTCTGTAGAGTCTTCTAGGTTAGCATCACTAGCTCTCCCAGTATCCCCATAATTATCTTCAAACTCACGTAAATTTTCTACTTCTGTGCTGGCCAAAATTTCAAGATCTGATTTTGCTAAACCGTTATGAAATTCTGCCTCACTGTTTCCTTTGGTTTCACAACCTTGCTCTTCCAGTTTCTCTGTACCTTCTACCTCCTTGTAGTTAGCTCCAGTCTCTACCTTTTCACTTGGCTTGACACCTGCCCACTCGTCTTCCTCATGCTCTTCCTCTGCCTTTTGCACATCACATGGGAGTGGTTCATCCAACAAGCTATCAGTCCCCAGGATGGGTGCCCCAAAATTGGTTACGTTCTCTAAAGGCTGATTGGTCACCACATCTTTCCACACGACACTTTTGGCATCCAACTGGTCCTCCAGTGAAGTCCTCTGGTTTTCGCTTACAGAAGCTGGCCCTGGTGCAGCATCCTCCTGCTCACCTACTGCAGGCCAAACATTAGCAGGCAGAGTACCAGTAGATTCGCTTGAGGTTTGCTCTGCCCTGGGGAAAAGCAAAGAACTGCCTGCAGTAATTTCCTGGCTGACAGTGGGTGTGCTAACATCTAGGCCCCAGCTGAGTGAACCCAGATCAGTTTGAGATCTGTTAGTATCTTCTGATGACCCACTGTTTGGGGTTTCCTCCATGATCAGGTTACACAGGGAAAGACTTTTTGAAGAATCAGGCTTTAAGCAGGCAGAAAAGCAAAGAAAAAACACAAGATGAAAAAGATAAAGGCGGACTTGATGAGAAAACACAACATTTATATTTTACAAGAGCAATTTTAATCTAAATGAAGTGACTACATTAAGCAAATTTAGGAAAAGCTATGTGATTTGCAATCTGAAGGCAATAAATTATAATGCAAAAGAGCAGCACTGACACACAAAACCAGAAAACTATGTATTACACTGCAGTAATTAAAGAAGTCTCTAGAGTGGTTGTGATTTTGGGGGGTGGTTTGCTTACCGGCTGCACCAATTCGCTGCTTGTCTGTATAGAACAAAGTCATACACATAAAACACAGAAAAGAAGAACATAATTTACTTTGATAGAGTAGCAGTTCGTTAATTAGCAGTTCTCTAACCAGCTGCAGTTACCAAATCAGAGTGGGGAAGGAGTGGTGGGTCCCTCCTACTACTCCACTCAAGACTACTTCAAGGCCTGTGAATTTCAAACCTCTGAATTACATAACAAAAAAAAGTTCTTAGTGTATGTTGAATATTGATCACCTCTTGCTACCCCTATGAGTCACTGACATTCTTATTTCAGATGTTTAGCTATGAAGTACACTGGCATTTTAAAAAATAGAGCAAAGATAAAAATGATAATACAGAATAAATACATAATATTAAAAAGCTATAAATAAAACTGTAAAAAGAAGACATTAATAAAGCTATCTAATCTAAATTTAGAGCAATACATTCTCAACATTACTGGGTTATTTCATGTGGTCCAGATATTTGCTGCCTTGAAATTTTGGCTACCCTACATACATGACTGTTTTTATTGAGCTTTATTTAACCTCACTCAATATAAGGACATTTAATGTACATCATACGTGGAATGTGAAAAAAACTGTGCTGTGAATCTGAACACATTACAAGCATTCACAAATTTCTGTGCTGGCTGAAGCTACAAAAGGTCAAACATGAACATACCAGCCTCCATGTCAAGTCAACCCAGCTAACTCCATTACATAGTCAAAAGTCAAAAGAAAGCTCACAAAAATGTGTTGTTTTCTTCCAGCAGATCATTTAATATGATTTGGCACTAGGAGGAAGAAGGAAGGATTCGTGCAGTTTCCTATAGCAGCTGTTTCTTTTGTGAGTAACTCCAGTTCACTGTATTGCCCACAAAGACAAGCTAAATTCTGTCTTAACTCCTAGTTTTGAGAAAATGGTTGTCTATTTGGTTAATGGACACCTTCAGGTATTTCAAACAACTGACTTATATCCATAATTACCTTCTAATAGCTGTATTTTGGGCATATTAAAAGCAACACACTTAGCTGTAGTGATTGTGAATCTTTTAGCCTAGATTTCTGACAAAATTTAGGTTTTGTAGGCTAATCAACAGATTATTTTTTATTGTTGTTAGTTTTAAAAGATACTCAGTGGCTTCATATACTTGAAAGAGTTTTTTCATGGTCTGTGAATTCTTTATCTTGGCTTTTGGTGAAAAATTTGTAAATATGAATTTAAGTTACAAAATCAGAGGCACAGAAATACTATTATGTATGTCAGGCTTACCGTCCATAGATCCCACGGCAATGTCTGGAAAAAGTAGTGAAAGAAAGAGCTGGTCAGAAAAATACCATTCCTGTACTGCATGTCCAACATGCTACACAACAATGCTCATTAAATGAGAAGAGAGAACTTATTTATAAGCATGCTTATATTACATACTTATTTTATATATTAGCACATGTCCATGTGTGTGTGTCTGTAGGTATCTGCACAATACTTTTGGTTACAAAGGATGGGAAGTATGCAATGCATTGTGGTATTTCCCAATTCAAAGTAGTTGTTTCTTTTCAGCAAACTCACATTGCTGTGTGCATGAATAATGGCCAGGTTTGGAACTGGGGACTGACTTTCAATAGGTATATGAGCCTCTGCAAGGTGTCAGCTTTAAAGACCTTACAAAGTTGGGGTTTTCTAGCCAGTTTAATGACACATCTATCCACTGAGAATAAGTGGGCTTCCTCACAACACTGACACAGAAAGGGAAATGGCAATACTATTTGTGAAAGGAAATAAGAAAGTTGACCAATATTTTCTTTTTCTTGTCCAGTCTGTTAATTAATGCTAGTGACCTCTCAACAGAAGTGCTAAACAGACGAAAGAAAAGCAGCAGACTTCATGCCAAATATTTATAGTCCACCACATGAGACGGAACTCTGTTGGTTTGTATCAAAAGAGAAGAGAACCAGACAGGTTTAGAAAGGTCCCTTCTAATGCAGCCATAGAAACAGAAAAGCAATTGAAGGAAGGACAGACCAGGGCTCACCTACTGTGGTTGGATCACCCTGGCAGAGCAGTGGAGGGAGGTAATTAATTAAATTAACAACAAATAAGTCATGCCAGGCCTTCCAAGGCATCATGCATAGATGACCACTCCTGTCTTCACACTTCTACCTCAGCCGTTTGCTGAATGGAAAATATGCATGACTTAAGCAAAAACTATACACATATGGAAATACCATTTAAAGCTCTCTTTTTAATCTTCCTGCAAGCACAGGGCTCTGCAGCCACAGGTTTAATTCTCTCTATACCATAGTAATGACCCTGTCAACTCCAGTGAGAGCAAGACCCAGACTGCAGGGCTGTCTTCCCTTCTAAAATCACAGTGTTCTGACACAGCTCTTGTAGATGTGGGCCATTCTTTCTCATATGCCTTTGTTCTGCAGAAAGGTGAAAGGAGTGAGTAAAGGTGCCCAGTGAATTCTTCTTATGCCCCTAGACAAAAAGTTACTATTTAACTTTTTAAGCACAAACTTTCTACACAAAATTATATTCTGTATTTCATAGTACAGTTGAATATAAAATAACTGTTTTTCACTAAGGTAATAAACTTTTCTACAATCTGTACAATATGATGTCAGAACAAATATGTTCTGTCATAAAATCTTGTGTTTAATGATCCCACTGCTCTAATCAGCATTATTATAAAACAAGCTGAAACTGTAATTAGTGAAGTCCCACATAGCCCTTTCTGTCACTGCTGAATGCTGTGGAATGTCATTTGCCTTCCCCTTCCTTTTCTCTGTTTAGAGGGAGAAAAAACATAACAAGTAAAATGCACAAAGTTTCTGCTAGAATGGAACACTTCTCATAGCAAATCCCAGTGAGAAAATTCGGCTAATGTTCAAAGTGTTGACAGTGCATCCTTTTTCTGACAGCACACACCTGTCAGAGATCACTCCAGATCTCATCACATAACTAGGGCTTCACACTGACTAAGAAATTAATTAACTGAGGTAGAGAGCATCAGAGAATCAGGACATCTCAGCCTTAAAGCTTATTGTCTTCTCACTCCTTTACAGTCCTGCATTTCTGAACAGCTGATAAGTCTCCTCACGTCTCACAGAACAAGCCAGATTTATGATAGGTTTTGCTAACAGTGTATTAACATTGCTTCTTTGTGTACAAAACAGGGATACAGACATGCTGGCCATGAGATCTTCTGTACTTTGCTACCTGCCCTCTGGGTAGTGAGGGTGAATTCTAGATTTTAAAATAGCATGTCCTGTAGCATAAGCCAATGAATATCACCAACTTATATATTAGCTTTTAAATTTTTTTTAAAATTTTCACTTTTTTTTTTTTTTCAAAAAACCACCATTACAAATATTACTATTGAATGTATACTTTCAATAACACAACATTCTACAAGAAAACACTCTATTCCATACTCCAATTTTCCTTGAGGTTAGGTCTAAAGTAGATTAATAGCAAAACCACTCAGATCATACCACTGCTTGATACAGACACTCCATCACAGTAAAGCAACTGCATGCTGACTCCATGAGACCTAGGTCCTCTAAGGCAGATATTTCTTCATATCTTTCCAGATACGAAGAATCAAAGTCAGGTCTGAAAAGTTGTCAGAAAAACAAGCACTGGAGAATAATAATGTTTACACTAAGAGTTATTCTATTGATGGAAAGTAACAGCATGCTAAAGTCAAGGCCAAGGTACCAGCAACCATTCTCATCAGCAGACATCTCATTTTACCACCTAACAATTTCCTCTCCTCCCAGTATATCATCAAGTATGTGGTTACCGACGTGGAAGACAGAAGGCTGACTTGTGCTTCTCAGGAAGACAAAGTTTTTCAGATACTTCTTATTAATATATGAGGCAAACCCTTTTCTACCAAACACAGTATATTGCATTCATATGCTTTGACTACGTCAAGGCAAAGAGATACCTGAGACATGGGTGAATGACCAACTCCTGTTGACACAGCTTCTGGCTTGAAGGGGTCGAAGTCCAAATCCAGTAACGATTCCTCTTTCTTAGCTTCAGGTACTTCATTCTTTTAGAAGAGAAATATAACTTCTGAAAAATTTATCATTTAAATGCTTTCCTGGGCAGTAAAATATGAAAATGATCAAGAAAAAAACCCAAAACACTCCACAGATTTACTAGCTGTGGTGCACACCAGAAGGGGAGGAAGTTCTGAAGATTTTCCTGAGCTTTAGTGTAAGTTTTATGAGATTCACTCTTATGATGGAACTAGATGATCTTTAGGTCTCTTTCAACCAAAACCATTTTATGATTCTACAATATGCTCTTATTAAATCGTATTTTTGGTTTGCAATTAATAAATTAGCCAAGGCCTCTGAGGTCACTATAAAGATATATACACATATACATGTTCAATGGGTCTTTTCTGCTATAAATTAACCTGAAAAAACTTTTAGTGTGTTTCAACATAAAATTCTAATTAGTGTGAAACTACAGCTGAGATTTAATTATCATTAATTGTAAATATTCTAGGCAAGCATCTTGGTCTTGCTAACAAGAGTAGTACTGCCTACTGCTAGTTGTTCAGTTAAACAGTGAGAGAGCTTGTATGAATGGGCAAGTCTACTGCAACATGGCATGTATAAACCCAGCAAAACTAGGTGATAACAATAATTATAATAATGATGATGACAATAACAGTAAAATAAATGAGCAAAGACTTTCTGTTATTAAAACATTTAAGAGTATAAACATTTCAAATTACTGTTACTATTGGTAAACAGATGTTCAAAGTCAGGTAATTAATGGCTTCCATTATGCTACAAAACACCTTAACTCTCTGTGTCACCTGCAAACATGGTCAAAAGAGCTCCTCAGCTCTCATGTTAGGAATGACAGAGTGACCTAGAACTCTTCAGTCTGTAAGATGTACTAGGGGTGATGTGAGAAGGGGTGATGTCTATACCAGTGTGAGAGGCACAGGGGTTTGGCTACTCCCTGGTTCTTCAGGGAGGCAGGAAAAAAGTTGGCAGCACAGCTGATGGAGGCAAATGTAAAATAAAGAAGTGGTGCTGCTCCACATGGCACCGGGTCCAGCTGGGGACCTTCTTGGTTTCAGGTAGTGTGAATGTGAAAACTGTACACATGCTGAAAGAGTAAATAAATTTGTGGCATAGTCTGCTGAGGCTTACTAAATTGGTAGCAATCATGTTGAGGAAGCCCCAGAGCTGCTAAAGAATGGAGCCTAAGAGACTCCAGCAGAAGAGGGTGTCAGGAGTACCACCATTGTTTGCCTGGATTTATCTTCTTTCTTTGGCCTTCTGGCATCACTGGTGATGATGGACAACTGGTCTGATACAATGAAGCCAGTGTTACAGTCTCACACTTCAAAAAGTCAAACCCACCACTCCCACCAGTAACCAACATTAGGCTCATTCCCTCCTGCCTTCCATTGAGTGTATTTAGATTTTATCACATATGCTTTTGAGGCACTAATACTCATATAGTCACACAACTTGGTAAAACAACAGCATTTACTGGCATATAATCAGAATTGGATGGAGACATAAAAGATGTCTCCTTTCACCAAAGTTTGAGGATGAAGTTGCTACCTTTGAGGACTGAATCAAATTAACAGGAGTATTACTTAAGGCCATAGACCAGATAAGGTATTGCAAGTCACAGGGCACTGATCACTGATAGCAAAATTTACCCATGCCCCTCAGACCAAAATGAAGAGAACACTCAACTTTAGTGACCAATCCCCAAATAAACATACACGGTACCTAAGATACCCCTCTCTGTGCAGCTAATGTTTCTATGAGCAAAGCCAAGTGAATGAATCATCCAGCTGAAGCAGTCTTTTATACCTGTAAAAACCAGGAAGTTTAATTTTTTAAAAATCACTCAACAGAAAGACGGAATACTTTTAATGAAGGAAACAGAAGGGATTTTGATGAAGGAAGCAGAAGTAATGAAGGATTTCTGTAAAGTTCCACTAGAGATGCTTAGCATAAAAAAAAGGCATCTCAGATCAACTCTCAGCTAGTAATGCAACCTGGATGCATTTAAATCTCAAACATGACTGTATCACAGTATTTTCAGTCAGACCTCTCAGGAAATTGCTCTTTTTTTCAATACGTTGGCAGTGTTAGCCCTTTTGAGTGATTATGTGTGACCTATTCAAAGGCAAAACACCATATGTGTAACTTATGATAACACAAAGTGGTAATTGTGCCTCTGCCTTGTACTTTCGCCCTCCTCCTCCCTCCCCAAGATCAGCCCCCAGTATCTTGGAGAAATTAGGGTGATTACATGGATGGACCTCTACACAATTCACTGAAGCTTACCTGTGATGGGGTTGTCACATTGATTTCTGGGACAAAGTTGTCATCAAATAAGTTAATGATGTTCTCCTGTTGCAACTCCTTTGTGGGTGTGAGTTTAGGCAGTGGCGGGACCGGTGGACCTTTCCTCAGCTAGGCAGACAGCAAAAATGTCACAGACTAGTTCAGGGATAAAAGAAAATCTTTAAGCTAGACCTAAACAAATTGTCTTAGATTTTTACTTTGGCTGTTTCATAGTAAATATTTATTCCCTAAATATTCATGTGAATAAGCCATGTATTGAATGGAACTGTTTAGCTGTTCACCACCAAGTACTTGGAAATGAACATTATGGGAAGAACAAAACAACCCTATGTTTCAAAGTCATTAAAACTCAAGGTTTCAGATTTGATACAAAAGCAACTCTTGGTTATTTTTTTTTTTCTGCTGCGACAGGCACACAGTGCAAGACAGCTCTTCTATGCTGTCTTCTATGCTGTCTTCTATGCAGGCCATAGCTGGAAGGATGATACTGCACAGAAACAATGCCTCTGCAGCTATTTGGCTTCTTGAGTTCATTTGTGCTTAGCTCTGGGATTTTGTCACTGCCCACCTGTTGCTAGCCTTAGGGTGTACTTAATGCTAAGACTATATCATCTCTGGGACCTATAGCACTTCAAAGGTGCCTAGTTCACTACATTCCTCCTGCTCTCCAGAGATTCACATAACTATGACAAACTAATTGCTTGGAATAATACCAAATAACATTGGATAATTTTTAAATCTATCAAAAACCCAAGAAAATAAATCCTCAAAAAAAATCCTCAGGTGGTATAGTGATATAACACCACTGGCACCAGTGCGGCTGAGTCCTACCAGGTGCATACTCAGGCAAGAGTTGTCACATTTTGGGAAACCAGAGAAAATAAACACGCTCACTAGACACAAAATTAATTTTCTTCTGATGTGCAGACAGCATAGAAACAGCAATTAGCACAGAATCTATCCCAATTCCAAATCAACACAAGTCTTTTATATGCACATGAAGTATCATATACAACTCATGCTACAGATAGAACTGATGAATGAAACCAATTCTTATTTTACCAATACTAGTGAGAATAGAAGTTACTCCATTGATTACAACAGTGTCAAACTTCCCAATCAGTGTTTAAAACAACCAATAAGACTTCAACTATCAGTAATTAGAAGAGCAGTATTTCAACTATTTTTCATTGTTTTAGAGATTGGCCAGATCAGTGATACTCACTGGCTAATTTTTCCCAAGGTAAGCATAAATTTGAAGATGAATGAAGAGCAGAAATATATAATGTACAAAAATTCACAAGGAGGTTTTAGAAATAGGCTTTTCAAACTGTCATTGCCGGTATATGGGACGTTAGAGACAACACAACTTTTTAAGAAGTGTTTTGCTTTGCCATTGCAAATTCTACCAATTCACCAAGCACCTAACATTTTCTTCATTCCCCTAATAAAAAAACCCATTTTCTATTCATGTTGTGACACAGGGATGAACAACTGATTAACAGAACAGATTACAACAGAACCAGTAGTGTCTCTGCTACTACTCAGTCTAGACCACAGCCTAGATGAAAAATCCACCACGTACATTATCTCAGCTATCTGCACAACAAATATCTCCTAGATATCTCCTTACCTGTGTAGGTGACTTAGGTCGGGCTGGTGCCGGAGATGCTGGTGCCAGCATATGATTGGGACTAGCAGTAGGGCTAGGTAGGGGAGAGACCTCCTCTGGTGGTGACGGTGTTTTTGCAAAGCGGAGTGGACCTGAATCACTAGACAGAAGCAAAGGAATGACAAGAACATATCTATCTTGCTGACTTATTACCTTGAAAATTGGATGCAACAGTTGAACTGCATTCCTGATGTAATGTCAGGGACCACAAAGGAGAGTATACACCGGAGATGAATGAAGCCATTATATAGTGACTAAAACTAAAATTGCAATTAAAGACAATTAAAATTCAATGTCAAAGGAAGTTTTAATTTTGAATGATCTTGATTTTTGGAACATTTGTTTACCTGATCATTATAACTTGAAGAAAACAAGAGTACCCGCATTTTTTCAGATTCTGTACTTGAAATACCACTTCACTTATAAATTTATTACCATTATAAAATGTGAAATGGATTTACTGTCTTCATTTCACATGCTTCTCAGAACAGAACACTTTGAAGATAAAAAAACCCACAGGAAGGCATAACAATGAATCCTGCAATTAATTTTAAAAGCTCAGCAACTTTTTGTTTTTATTGAAAGGTTTCAATAAAACAAAAGACAGCCAAGATTATTATAAAGATAAAACTATTTAGAAGGACAAATCGCAAAAATTATAAACAAGCAGCAGTCTAGTGACTTCAACAGAGCTCTGGTGATACTAAGAAAGATCTGATGAAGTCGTAGAAAGCATCTCCACTTCCCATGAAAGCACCTGGTGCAAACACTGAGAAAATATTCAGCTACCTAGATATGCTGAAAGCTTACAGTGAGGGAGGCTATGAACTACAGTACTCAACAACCACAGTACTCAGTAGAAGCGACTCTTACACATCCTCAGGGAGAGCAGAAGCACTACCTGATTGAGACCACAGCATAAACATGATCCTAATGCGAACACAAGAAAAACTGTTCTTTGGAAGGACAAACTTAGCTCACACTCACCACCTCTTTCTGTGGAAATATTAAAAGAGAAAAAATAAGCAATCATTAAGAAATTTATGTTCCAGGGTACATATTTGCCTTCAGGACAGAGTACTGAGCAGCACACAAGTTCTTAAGATGTTTCTTTTTATGCATTTCTTTAAAAGAAAGATTAGATATTGCACTTGTCTAGTATCAACTTCTCATGCATCTAAAATGGAAAGCTGTTTTATCTCATGAAGATCCACTTAGGAGTCTTTTAGAGTATGATCACTAATAAGGGAAGTCAAAATCTATCCAGATTTTCACACAAGGCTCTGCAAACAGGACAAGCAAAAGACAGTAACAAAGTAATTGAAAAAAATGGATTTTTAGAAAGCTTTTTTAAGTAAGTTCACACTACATTAAATGACATCTAGTAATTTGCAGAAAAAATAATTTTGTTGCATAATTGTTTTTCTCCCAATGATGGAATGAATAATTCAGTGGGAACAAGCATGTGCATATTGGACGTGGTCTAAAAAACACAGGTGGATAAAATACCTGCTGCTTACAAAATGTGCTCGAAATCTTCCAATGCTACATTATTTCACATCGCATAAAAGTATTTTACAAAGCCTTTATGGGGATCATGGTCCAGATTGTGAGTCCATCCTAAATGGGACAAAGTTAACCGCTCCAAAGGCAATATGTAGTATGCAAGCATGGATTATCACTGAAATAATCTAAAATACAAATTCTAGTGATGTGCTTATAAAGTAGTTCTGAATTTCGCATTACATCAGAAGTTTCAGATTTCATTCTTCGTTCTTCCAAAGTGAGATTAAAACAAATGGAGGAATATTTTCCATATTTTTGAGGCAGACGTTATGTTGTTTGGTTAGTCTTAATTGTTGCTAATCTACCTCCATCTTGAGAGCAAATTAGAAGTAGTTATTGAGGAACCAATTTAATTTTTATTTATGCCTCAACATTATCTGGCTTTTGTGTTATAAACCTATTTTCTGACATTGGGTGGAAAATTTCTACACAGTCTGAGCACTAAGATGTGCAGAAGGTGGCTAGCACACATGAAGGGGTAGAGACCGCTGACATCACAGCTCCTAAGCAGGCAAACCCTTTACAGAATGGAGACTTCGGCTGACAGAGCAGTCAAGTCTTGCACCACTAGGCTGCAAGAGACTCCCTCTGCAGGCGGGGAAACCCCTGCTGTCCAGCGCAAATTCCCCTGACTAGCCAATGGTCGTCCCACAAGGAGCGGACTATGAGAGGAGCCTGAGCACATACAAGCATTTAACCGCGGTACAGCTACCCCGCTGTCTCAGTTTCTGAGCCGAGGGGCTCGTCTAGAGTTTGCCTCGGTCGGCCCTTGCTCCCTGCTTCTTCCTTGACTCTCTGCCCTGTCCTCATCTGTTCCATCTACCCTTCTAAGCTTCGCCGCTTTCCCGCAGCAGCCTGCCGCCGCTCCGCCACAGCGCGTCCCGCCGCCCCGCCACGCGGGACCGTCCTGGCTGCGGCCAGCGGAGCCGCGCTCTCGCGAGAGCTGCGCAGCCTCGCCCCGGCAGGGAGCGCAGGCTCCACCTGCCGGTGGGTGCCGCCGGTGCAGCCCGGGGTTCCGCCGGTGACGTTCTGATCGTGGCCTCCTTTCTCCCTCTCCGTCTTTCTTTTCCCTTCTCTGCTTAACTTTCTGTCCCTCTCCAGTAGGGACACACATCCTTTCTTATCAGTAAATAGTTCTCAGCTATAATATTTGCCACGTTTGTGCTTGATTTTTGTCCAAGAAATCCATAAAAAAGAATCCCGTGGTTTCCCTTAGAGTGGGATGTGAAAAGTTATATAACGTTGTTTTCAGATTGCTTCTGACTAGCTGGGATTAAATGGAAATTCAGGCTTTATATATTAACTCTAAATATCAATGTGTCTTTATAAGTCTCACTGTTTTACATCTCAGCCTTTTATGACCATCAGTATTAGAAATAAAATTATGGCAGAAAGGCTACAGTTGTTGAAAGTGCAGAAAGTACATTTCTGTTGCCAGTACAGAAATACTGTACTGGCATCCACTGACCTTTAGAAAGCACCATCTGATTTTAAACTCCTTTTGGTTTTGTGCTTTAAAACAAGATTTTGCTTGACATTCTCTTTTTTTCAGCCCTTTTTTTTTTTTGCTTTTATGATGTACCCTCAGATCTTTACTTTTTCCCTGTAAGTAGAAGAGATAAAAGCTGACATTCAAAATTTGGGATTCGCACCTAATAATAGGAGCTAAAACCATATCTCAATATTTCAAGGCTTTAAACAAGTTATGAGAGTTAGCAACATAGCTGTAACCTAAATATTAAATTAGCTGTACACTTAATTGGTGCAAATTGATGTAACAGTCTACAATGAACTTGGCTAAATTGAAACAGCCTTCTTTTTTTTGTAGTTTTGGTTTGGTTTGGTTTGGTTTTGGTTTTGTTTTTGAAAGGACTTTCTAGAAAAATAGTCAGTGAAGAAGAAAGCTTTGCATATTTACTCCTGTTGAGAAGAACTTCATCCTGGGTACCTTCATTTACCATCCTGAACAAATAATGCCTGTTACCATGTGTAGGTGTTACACACGGTGTAGGTGGTCACTACATATGCTGAAACCTACAAAGCCTACAGCAAGGCAATTCATTAAATAGGCAATAAATTCACCTTGGTGCCCCTTGAATGGTGAAGGCCTTGTCTGCATGCTGATCCCCCAGCTTTGTCATCACTTCATATAGTTTGTGACATAACTGTGAAAACAAAACAGTTGCCTGAGTTTATGTGAACAACTACAGTCATGATTAAAAAGGCATTATTAAAATGATAAATATGGTTTGATAAATGATAACTTGATAATTTTGTTACAGTATAAAACCTTCCAAAAATTCTCAGTACCATGCATAGAAAAAGCCTAAACAGAAACCCATCAAAATCCATAGAATCAAAGATAATAGCAGTTCTTAAAAAACATGAGTTGTTTTTTAGAGAACAAGATTATAAATAAGACTGCTATGTGAGCTCTGATGAAGGAGGTCATCTGAAGTTTAAATCAACATGGGCAGCCAATAAGATCCTGAAAAATCTAATCCAAATTTTCACAGAGCTTCAGTAAAGTGAGTTTTCAAAAAAATTTTGGTTCCAATTTGAAAGTTGCTATAGATTATATGCTACTATTTAGCCAGGAACATTCAGAAGATCCTCAGTGAAACTGCTTGATTTGCCTAACAGTCACAGATAAAATATTGCATTGCTGACAAGGCATATAGCAGACTTGAAGAGAATGTTTGACATGTTTGTTTTTTTTCCTACTGATTAAAGCAAGGAGGTGCTTAGCAATTTGACACAGCAACAGTAGGCAACATTAGATTGTCAAAATTGAAAGTGAATTTAGTGCTACAACTGGTAATGCATTGCAATCCAAAATTGTAGGGGCTGCTCCTTCCTTAAGGAGAGAACAAATATGGCAAGTAGAATGAATATTATCATTGTAGCAAAAATCTGGATCTATGGCAAATTCTCATGTGTGCCTCTGCTAGATTTTTACTATAAGGTATTTTTTAGCTATCATGCATAGCATAATCCATTATACAAGATAGTCAGTTTTACTCACTAAAGCTATTTCCTTGTGAAACTTGGCTTCAAGGCTGGATACATTTTTGAAGGTGTTCACATAGAAGCCAATTCGTCTACAAAGGATGGCACAAAGAAAGGAAAAAGAGAATAAAAGGTATGTGTGGGAGGGGCACAAAGGCAGATTAATTAATTGTTTTCTGGACTACAAACAACATTCTTGACAATTACTCTCAGCAAAGCAAATGATGAAATGTCAAAATTTCAGACTAATTTTTCATTATTATTTCCATTAGTGTTAAGATATGTATTTCACACCATCCAGTCAACCAAACTGAGACTACTCCACATCAGAAGTCTTCAGCTTTTTTTAAAGAAGAGTGGAAAAGGATGGTCTCAGCTACAGCACAAGCGCAGAGAAGACAAGATGCTCTGGGCTTCCATCTCCTGACAGACAGCACACAACCATTTCTTGAAAGGGGAAAGGTACCATTCCAGCACTGTGAGCCCCTGTGCCCAAATTTTATCACAGCATCAAGATGATGCAGTTGCATCTTGGGTCACCTTGAGTGTATACAGCTCAGAACAGCCCACGCATCCCAAGCTCAGCTCTGAAACACATGCACATGTATATAAAAGGAAAGAATTTAATATAGACTAGACATTTCTGTGCATGTAGTCAAGAATCTGCTTACTTGGGGTGAATTATTACATACTTCTCCATTTCAAAAGTAGAAGCTGTTTTCTTAGGTTTTGTTTTATTCTTTTTCCTATTTAAAACTTCTATGTATAATTTCTCCCAACTTTGATTAACAACAATTGTCTTTGGAATATGAATAAGCCTGCAAAATGTCAACTCAATAGATAATTTTCTTCCTGAAGAATTTTAATAACTAAAATAAAGGACTCTGAAAGCAATTGCTTACTAAATTACGCATATTGCTCAAATTAAATTCTACCTTTCCCCGAGACTAGCTACCATGTCTTTATACAAAATTTACTGAAGTAAAAAGGGCCCTCACTCTAAGTCATTCACATGCAGTTTTGCTTTTAGCAGGCCCATAAAACAAATGGGCCTAAGTAAGTGCTGAGAAGGTTTACACTGAAATAGGCAGAAACCCAGCAGGGAAATTCTCTGTTGGTCTGAAATTTAACAGGCTTTAATTTGGAAGGCAGAGAAGACAAAGGATACTTCCTATTTTCACTCCAGTGAAATGTGTCAATTGTTAAAGAACATAACGCATAACACACTAATGAGATGCTTATTTTTCTACTGCTTTTGTTCTCCCATTCATATTGTCTGCATTTTCTGTATAAACACAAATCATGATTACACATCTTGACTGAATGACCTATGCCATCAAGTCATTTAACATCACAACCATTTAACACCAGTGCAAAACTATAGTATGTGTCTTCTGGTGTAGTTATAATAAAAAAATATCCATAAGTAGACCCAAATCACCACAGACTACTCTGTGCTCTAGCATAATTATTTACTCAGTAAATGGAAACCTTTTAGCACTTCAGAATGAAGATATGCTAATGAATCTTAAGTGCCAACATACATTGAAAAAAATAAGCATAAATACACTTATATTACATATATTTTGGAGCACTTGCATACATTTTTCCTTTTATTGTTTCAGAAAGGTAATGCGTGGAATCTTCAAGAATCCAGCAATTCATTTTCTGTCAGCTCATTAAAATCCCCTGATTCCCTTTCCTTACTCCCCATTTAAGGCCCTGCATACAGTATCTCTCTAGGCTTACCGTGACCACAGAGATGGCAACTCTTCTTGCAAATCAGTGTTAAACTCTTCAAACACTTTCTGTGCTTTTTGAAATTCTTCTTCTGCCTAAACCAAAAGGAAACAGATGACTTCTAAAATCACTATGACATAACAGAATCAAAATAATTTTTGTGTTTTTTTCTTGGTGGGTCTTTTACATTTTTTATTAACAAAGGATGTTACTCAGTCTTACACCATGGAGGCCAATACAGGATTTGCTGTCCCCTCAGTCTCATCAAGAGAGCAAGTTAGGTCCCAAAGAGGACTCCTTAGTGAAAGAGGCTGAGCCTGACTATCACATGAACCAAAGTACTCAATACACATTTTTGCTTAGAGATATCATTATTTCTAAGGGAGTAAAATGAAAAGAAATTTTGTGCTCTCTCTCTGTACAGAAAAAAATACCACCCAGTCTCCCCAGGTCTTCTTCCAGCATGTTTCTGATTGTGCTACCTTGGTGATTCTGCCCTCATCTTTTCTTTTCGAGCTCTGCAGGGCTTCTAGATGATGCCTTGCACTGTCGTAGTCCACTAGCTTTCTGCTTCGTTTTGCAATGCGAGTCTGTGCAGGGGTAGAAATGAAAGGAAATATGAGGAGCAGTTTCAAAAAAGCCATTTTACATATGTTGTTAATTTAATTTTTGACATATTTTTATTCTCCCTTCTCTATTGTTCATATCTGAATTATTATATCATATAGGAGGAACATGGAAATGGTAAAAATGACAATCTAATCACATTATTTTAAATAAGGAATCAATTTACAAATAGTTTGGAAAGGGTTTTCATGGGTATAGGGCTTACAGTCTTTAGAATTGAGGTATCAGTGTTACATAAGACTTGTCACATTCTCTAAAATCAGTGAACCTGTTAAACTCATGGTAACTCTATCTTTTCCCCTTATATATAGTATGAAAATTCAGCAATTAATGCATTTTTTCTAGAGTTGGAAATATGCTATTATATACTTCTCTATATAGTTGTTCTGACACCTATCTAAAATACTGGAGTTCAAGATATAGATACAGATATAGATATTAGATATAGATATACTTTGATATAGACTTTCCAAAGCTATGTAATCCACATGCTGAGACAGCACAATCACAGCTTGATTTAAAAATGAGTTTAGGACTGTGTATCACTAATGTTGGTATTCTTAGATTATTTTTTCTTTAGTCCTTGATGTAAATTACAAAGGGGATTACTGTGTGTTACCTGCTCAGTTATAAACCCTCACAGAAAAATCCAGTTATGCCCATACAGTCATATTCAAATATAAATGTATCTCCTCTCATCTATAGTGCTTGTTTATCCTCACACATTTCATTTATCAGTCATTTCTCTGGACTGTGCACTAGATGGGCATGTGGCAGAGGCTAGAATCTGTATAACATTCTCTTGTGATGTGTATTACAAAATCTTTTTATAACTAATTAAAAGACATGGGTTAGGTAAAAGAAAGATACGGGTGCATCCATCTAGCCAGTAACAGAAAGCCTGCTTTCCATGTAATTTGTCTGGCATTTTAACAGATGAAGAGCTTAATGTGTCCTTACTGAAATTGGTTAAAATTATCTCATACCAAAGAAACAGCAGTAGCAAAAAGCATAAAAGTTGCCTCTACAAAGACTAATTTACTTCCATGTACTATTGCATGACAAATATTTTTGATCACTTGGAAAATCAGTCCTGCCTAATGTCAGGAATTTACTTACAATATCTTGTACATTACAGGAGAGCATGACTTCCACCTCCCAACCTTTTAAATTTTTTTTGTTTGTAATCTCATTTTCAATTTATTTTGGAACTCAACAGAACTTTAAAATTTGTCCTTTGTAGAAAATCATTACTTTACTTTTATATCAGGAAATTGTCCTAAATACGTATCCAGAGTTAACAATGACCCATCCACCAGTTTTTGATGGAAGTCTTCCCAAAGTTCATCACATTTCTGAAAAGGCAGAAAGGAGAAAAATGTACTTAGTAGTTTAATGCCACTCTAAACTTAGGAGAAATACAAATGTAACTGGCAAAGATTCATATTTCTGAAGTTTTAAAATGTTCTTTATGGAAATAAATCATAGCATAAACGTAAGGTGAATGAAAAGGAATACCTTGATATTGCAAATTTAATTCACAACAAATTAAGATTAAACTTAATAATTAGTTTCAGGTCCCTGAGGGTCAGTAACACAGAATCTGTACCTGGCATAGCTCTTGTGTCTAACTATATTCTCTGATGGTGAACCTTGCTTACAGAGAAAGGAAGTACGACAAAAAAATAGAAGAGAAAATAAAGGGAAAGATCTTTCAATTTCATTATTTTTGTGCCATTAAGGTACATTTAATAGAATGGCTGATGCAGACAAGAACTCTGCTTTGTGCTGCTGGAGAGCTAGAATGACAGGAAACATCTCAACATCAGCTGGCAAAATAAACAAAATCTGCACCCCAGCCACCCTCCTCTGCCCTGAACGCACAGTGCTTTTCCCCAGTCCCCTTTGGAGCTCTGGGCTAGTCACCAGGAGAAACCCCCTGTAGTTTTTTGATTTTCATGAACATATTAACACATAGCTCATGTGACAAGGATTCAGTGGGTAAGATTCCTTATTAGAAGCAAATCCTGTTGCATAGACATAGTGCTTGAGGTCCTGGATTCTCCACTGAACAAATCATTAGCACATGTTAAACATCCTGATTCCCCCTTTCTTTGCACATTTCAAAAATCACTTAACATCATTCCCTTTGATAGGAGGGAGGTTAATGGGTGTAAGCACTGCTCTGTAGGGCTGTTATCCTCACAGAGTCTGGAAAACTGTCACATTATGTCACAGTACAAGCTAGCTTGTACTGGGCAATTAATTTTGCTATAAATAAGAAACCCAGCCAGTTCCATAAACTGGCCCGTGGTTGACAGATAGGAACCTCAACTGATTACATTCCATCCTAAGCTGCAGACATCTCAGTAGTCTGGGAGCTGGGCAGTATCGAAGATCAGACCAATGAGCTATCCAGACCGGGTTTTTCAAACCCCCTTTATAAAGAGGGGTTTATATAGTAAACTCTCTCTATTGCCACTTGGACATTGGAGTCTGTGTTGTCCGTGTCTTCGACCACTGACACCATGAAACACATGGCCATCCTGCATAATAGAAAACTATTCCAAAATGTTTGTTTTATCATAACCTACTATACAGTGGATTATAAATGCTGTATAATGCCAGCTTTCAGTTCATTCATTTCCTACTCTAACAGAGTCCCTAATGAATGATTAGAATATATTAAACATGTTTAAAAGAAATACCTAATTTATTAACACAGCATTTAATCACAGTGGTCTACAAAGCATCACAACATTAGATCATAGCATGCCATTCTTCTTTGTTTGCCTTTGTATCTTGCTGATATGTATTTTGAACAAGTTAAAATAAAGGAGATTCTAAAAGCTAATGGACTCAAACAACATTGCTGAAGGATTCTTTAAGCCATCATCTTTCCTACCATACAGAATAAGGTCTTATAAGTGGATCCCTTTTGGAATGATAATTTATAACCTAGATACATAATTATTTTTTACTGAGCTCACAGAATTACAGAATCACAGAATCAACTAGGTTGGAAAAGATCTTTGAGATCATCAAGTCTAACCTATGACCTAACCTTATCAATTATAACATGGCACTAAGTGCCACATCCAGTCTTTTCTTAAACACCTCCAGAGATGGTAACACTACCTCCTCCCTGGGCAGGTGATTCCAATGCCAAATCAGTCCTTCTGCGCAAAAATTCTTCTTAATATCCAGCCTAAACTTCCCCTGACATAGTTTAAGGCTGTGTCCTCTTGTCCTGTTGCTGGTTTCCTGGGAGAAAAGACTGATCCCCACTTGGCTACAACCTCCTTTCAGGCAGTTGCAGAGAGTGAAAAGATCTCCCCTGAGCCTCTTTTTCTCCAGGCTAAACAACCCAAGCTCCCTCAGCTGGCCCTCATAGGACTTTTGTTCCAGACCCTTCACCAGCCTTGTTGCCCTTCTCTGGACACAGTACTCAAGTTGTGGCCTCACCAGTGCTGAGCACAGGGGAAGAGTCATTCCCTGCTCCTGCTGACCACACTATTACTGGTACAGGCCAGGATGCCATTGGCTTTCTTAGCCATGTGGGCACACTTGGTCTTGTTAAACCTCATATCATTGGATTCAGCCCATGGTTCCAGCCCATCCAGGCTGCTCCTGCAGAGCTCTCCTGCCCTCCAGCAGACTGACACTGGCACCCAACTTGGTGTCATTGCAAAACTACTAAGAGTAGACTCAATTCCCCTCATCCAGATCATCAATAAAGATATTAAACAGAACTGGGCCCATACACAGATCTCTGGGGGCCACCACTAGGGACTGGCCACCAGTTGGATATAGCAGTATTCACCACCACTCTCTGGGCCTGGCCATCGAGCCAGTTCTTGAACCTGGAAAGAGTGCACCTGTCCAAGCCATGGGCTGTCAGCTTTTCCAGGATTATTCCATGGAGACAGTGTTGAAGGCTTTGCTCAGTCCAGGTAGACAACATGGAAAGCCTTCCCCACATCCACCAGGTGGGTGGCCTGGTCATAAAAGGAGATCAGGTTGGTTAGGCAGGACCTGCGTCTCCTAAATTCATCTGGCTGGATCATCCCCAGGCCATCCCTGTAGGTCCTGTGTAATTGCACTCAAGATGATCTGTTCCATAACTGTGCCAGGCATCGATGTCAGGCTGAGAGATCTGTAGTTTCCTGGATCCTCCTTTCAGGAGGGGTATTACATTGGTCAGCTTCCAGTCATCTGGCACCTCCTGAATAACCAAGACTGATGATAAATGATGAAAAGCAGCTTAGTGAGCTCTTCTGCTAGCTCCCTCATCACTCAGGATGGATCCCATCTGATCCCACAGGCTTGCGAACATCAAAGTGGCTCAGCAGGTCACTAACTGCTTCCAATTACAGGGAATCTATTCTGCTCCCTGTCCCAGTCTATTAGCTTTAGAGGCCATCTGCCCTGAGGATGACCTGTCTTATTGTTGACAATTGAGGCAAAGAAGGTGTTAAGTACCTCAGCCTTTTCCTCATCTTCGGTAACTGTATTCCCCACCATGTTGATAAAGAATGGAAGTTTTTCTTGGTCCTTCTTTTGATATTAATATATTTATAAAACCACTTTTTATTATCCTTTACAGAAGTGTCCAGGTTAAGTTCTAACTGAGTTTTTACCACTCTAATTGATGCATAAATCTACCTTTGGGATTATGTACCGAAACAATTCAGGAGATTTTGTAATATTGCACATAAAACAATACAAAAAACCTAAATCAATCAAACAAAAAAATATGTATCTTAAATTAGGCACTTTGGAAGTTGGATGCTTTTAAAATCAAAACCCTTTGCAGCAGGGAAGTGTAGGAGAAGGCATCTGTAGAGAAGAAAAGCAATCTGTACACTGCTTTGTATTCAGGTTTACTGTTAACTATATTATCAAGGAGGCCTTGCAAACTGAATGCCAGGTGATTAAAAGCTTAATTGACAACCATTTGCACTTTCTTGTCACCACCATCACATTTGCTGACAGATTTCCCCCTGAACTGAGGCTCTTTATGCAGGCAATTCAGAGCACCTCAAGTTAAATTCCTGCTGTGCTGTCTAGAAAAGCCTATTCTTCTCTAATCACTGGAGTAAGGTAAAAAGTAAAAATAAAGTGTCCTGAACTCTAATTTGCCTTTGAATTCCATATTCTTCTCAGTAAGAGGTGAATGTCTCATAAAATGTCCTGTGCAGTACGACTGGCTCAACAGTTGTTACACAGCACAAAAGGATTAAGTGGCTTTGATAATTTTTAACATTCTATTGAGCTGAGAATCCTGACTATAAAATTGCATGTAAGATACCTTTGTACAAACTTGTCAGTCAGATGCTGTCAGGACCAATTCTGCTCACACTGAGTTATCTCTGTGGTAGCTTTTATCAGCTAGTTCATACAACAGACACTGCAAGTGCTGCATCTGGCCAGCAGGAGCTGCATTTCACAAGATCTGTAATTTATATGCTGAGAAAACAGGATTTAACATGACATGAAGGATTAAGGTCAATTTTGTATGCACACTTCTCCTCAACAGCTCAGATTAATCCATTTGCATCCAAAATACTTTTCCCCTCTTTCCATACATCTTACCTCTCCAATCATTTTCACATCTTCACGTCCATACCAGTCTGGCTCGTACACTTCATGGAGAGACTCTGTAAGCTTCTTTGAGGCATCTTGCATTCCTGCAGTCAGACAAAAAGAGAAATATGTAAATGAAAACTACAAGAAGTAGTTGCTAAATAGCTTGATTTTCAGCCATGTGTACCCACTATGCTATTCCCTCTGGCAAATTTAGAAAATAAATATCTGAACTTGGGTAGAGCACTGCAGTGGACATGATTTTATGAAGAGTTTTGTAATGTCACCCAGTAGCTTTAGAAGTTTGTGGAGCCCAGTGCCTATTTATGTTTGCAGCAGGGTGGTGCTTGCAGAGGACTGTGTGAAGCCAAACTGACAGTCACTATTGGAGCTCTTGCTTTGGCTCTTGCTTTGACAGGTGGAACAAGAACAGTGACTATTGATGCTTATCACTCTGGTTTAAATGTAAAATAACTTCAATGACATTATGAAAATTTATCTTCAGTGAGATCAGTTTGACCCCAATGAATAAATAAACACCTTCAGTGAAGGCACTGGGGTTTGCATTTTTGATACAGCATGAATCCATTAGATTCAGAATATGGTTCTGAATCCAGTGAAACCAAACTCATCTCACCTAACATTCTAAGAGTTCAGAGTAAGTAATTTTAAAATGACAATTTTTATTTCAACTTCATTGGAAAATCTCTATACTTGAATTTCTTACTTAGCATTAACTTTTTTTTCTTAAAAAAGCACCTCTTTTTCTGGTCAAAATCTGTTTGCTCTTTTGAAAATATCTCTAAGCATGATGTTCAGATTTAACTTCTTAGTGACTGAATTTAGGAATAACATCAATATTTTTGTTTTCTGTACAAAGAAACATTCACAAGTGGAAAAGGAAAACTAATTTGAAACTTGAACATGTAGAATATCTTGATCTAGTCAGTTGGTATTCCATCATGCACTCACAAAACATATGCTGTTAATATGAGAGTAAAATAAATACAGGGATGCACACTTTATAAGAAAGTAGTAGTCTATGGAATTGATAGGATAGAAAACAGATACTGAAAAAGCTGAAAGTACATGCTTGTTCTCAGTCCTTGAGTACAAAATAGAGAATGGTATGGGGGAGAACAAGTACAAAAGAAGTACTGGTGCTTAGAGGGTACAAGCTTTTGCCCTTAAATCAAAAGGTAATGAGCCAAAACAGAATATCTGATCTCTTCAGAAATGGTCTTGGGGGTGGTTTTTAATGACAAAGCTCATCTTAGACTATTAGGAGAGCACAAAAATTAAAATGTATTTCTTCCTTTTCTCCTTCATGGTTAATTCTTAGGATCATGTATCTCCAGCTAAGAAAGTGTTATCCTGAATAAAAAGGAATTTTTTTTTTTTTTGCCTCAGAAGTTACCAGGTTACAATGAAATACAGATGATCTTCACATATATTTTCAGGCAGGACTCATTTAAAATCTTTAATGTCACTGCAACTCAAGAGATAAGGCAAAACCACTAGAGTATCTCTTTGCTTCTCTCCAGTCAGGGTGAATGTACAAACCAGGAGGGTTTGTTCATCCCTGCTTACACCTGATCCTTTCTGATACCTGAACTTCTGCCCTTAAGCACTCTGAGTGGTAAACCTGTGGCAGAGGTTCCTGTGGCATGCAGTCTAGCACAGCTGCAAGATAATCCCTCCTGCAACTTGCACTAAGCTCGGTCACAGACCATGTTGACACCTTTTCCTAGACTTTCTTTCTTAAGTACTACAGGACTCAGGCATATATCTGCTTAAGAGAAAAAGTAAAACACACCTAATGTGCCATGCTTGAGTTATATCAAAACTTTGTACCAACATTTACACTTTTTTTCTGCTCTGAGAATTGGATAGCCCTTCATTCCACCACATTCCTGTAAAAAACATCAGTAAAATCCAGCTGCAGTGTCAGGCAAGTGGGCAGTTAAGTATTTGGTTTTTTCAGTCAGGGGCTTCAATTTGAAATTTCCAGGCTAATATCATCCATCCTCCTCCTTCTGACTGCATCTATACCAGGTTTACTGCAATACACCAAAGGGGTGAAAAGGTAAATACCAAATCCAGTGAATTCCCATTCTTTTTCATACTTCTGGACATAAACTTACAGTGTCCAATGATTTTTTGTTTGACAGGTTTTCACAGTTATTCCTTACACACTGATACCTTTTATACGTTATTCAGCACAAAATTTAAGGGGATTAGTGTCTTAGTCATAGACTGCAGGCTCTCTCTCTTGGCTGCTTTTAACTGCTATCACTATAGACAAATAAATTGTTAAAAGCAAGTCATTAAAGTACTAAGTAATATGAAAAGTACTAAGAAATGTGAAAGGAATTTTTACGGCTCATGAACAGTTATAAATTTATATTTAGTATCAATTGTTTCATTCAGTAGTACTTGTTGGTAATTGGGTCCTGTATTTAATAGCTAAAAGTGCCAAAATATTTGAATCACTTAGGAAAAATGCTGCTAAATAATCCAGTTACTGAAGATCGAGCTTTTCAGATTAAATGATCCCTATTTCTATCGTAAGGAGAAATCTGTCCCTGGAGCCACCAAAAAATTCTAGAGGCCTCCTTGTGATAGGGATTCTGGGGGTGGCAGTGCAGAGATATTCCCATTAAGCACACTAGAGAAGGGGGAGGGTAGGTGACTCTTTACCATCACAGCTCCAATGTACTCAAGCTCCCGTGGAGAGTGAGAAAGACCTGGAACAGTATGTTGGCTGTAAAACTCATATGCTGTGGGGTCTCCTCACTCCCCTGCAGGGTAATCTAGCCTGAATGATGGAGAATTTTCCATTTTCCTGATGGGATGAGATATCTTGGTCTGGCCCTTAATATTACTGATGTGGTTCTTCAGGGAAATGACCTGCCCTGCCATAAGCGTTGTACTTCTTATTGCTAGTAATCCATTCGAGTTTCCACTGGAACAAGTCAATAATTCCATTATTAATGAATAAATTTTGCAGAAAGATGATGAATATTTTATGGATTTTAAGAAATTACATGACTGATCTTAAGATTTCTGTGTCTGAAGGACATGTGCAGTTCTGTCAGCCACAGACTGACAACTAGGCAACAGAACTGTTTACAGACCTGAAAAATCTCCCCTTCCTGTACACCAGTTACTCTTTATCACTATATTAAGCCATCTGTAGTGTATTTCAGGTAAATTTCAGGTGCTTTCTTTTCCTCACTTTTTATGTCTGTCACCTTGCCACTTGCATGAAGATCCAGGTTTCTTCTTCCCCATCTGCACTGGTACTTGCAAAGAGCTTGGGGTAGAGAATGGGTGACTGATTTAGGGTTTCTATAACAATTGGCCCATAAAACCATTCAAGTCCCTTACAGCTCTCAAAAGCTTAAAAATAAATCATGAAGTATAAAACCCAGATACATATTGCCAAGGAGATTGGAAGACACACAAGACTGAGGCATGAGATGACTAAAGTTATGGGGAATAGCACACCACCTCATCAGTACAAACACCACTGATACACAGCAGACATTAAACTATCATGCACATGAAATAAAATGGCACATAAAAGCCATTCACAAGTTCAACAGCTTTATGGCATGGTTTCTCTGAGTCCTTCAATAACCGACAAGAAAAATCAAGGTCCAGCTAAGACTAAGAAGCATCAGTGATAAGAGAAGGAGTCTAAATACAGCAAAAATTCTTTTAAGAATGTGTCATACTAAACCTCAAATTGTGAAATATATATTAAAATGAAGGGACAGAGGGTCATAATAAGGTTTAATTTATTCTTCCTTGCTTATATCCCCATCTGTAGTATTGTGTCTACATCTGGAGTCCACAAGAAAGATGTGGACCTGTTAGAGCAGGTCCAGAGAAGGCCACAAAGATGTTCAGAGAAACAGAGAACCTCTCCTACAAAGACAGACTGAGACAGCTGGAATTGTTCAGCCTGGAGATAAGGCTTTGAGGAGACCTCCTTTTGTCTTGACAGTACTTAATGGGAGCTTATTGAAAAAAAGGAAGAAGAACTTTTTACACAGGTAGACAGTGGTAGGACAAAGGGGAATTAATGGTTTGAAACTAGAACAGGAGAGGTATAGATTAGATGTCAGGAGGAAATTCTTTACTTAGAGGATAGTGAAACACTGGAACAGGTAGCCCAAAGAAGTAGATGCCCCATCCTTTGAAGTGTTCAAGGTCAGGCTGGATGGGATTCTGAATAACCTGATCTCTTGAGTGGCATTCCTAACTACGGCAGGGGGATTTCAACTAGATAATCTATAAAGTCCCTTCCAACCCAAACCATTCTATGACTCTATGAAGTCATACCTGGATTTGTACTTCCTACTTCCAATATCAAGTCATTCAGAAGTCATGCACCAAAATAAAACTTAGTACTGAAGTTAAAATCCCAAAACTCTTTAAAATGAGCTGCTTCACTCATACATCCAAGAGTATTAGGATGTCAAGTGTGTTATTTTCCAAAAATTCCAATATATGCAGTTATATGATTGACCTTTTTTCCTGCAAAATTACAGGAATGACAGCATGACTCCAAGTCTCTGACATCTTTGGTGCAAAAATCCCACTCAAGTGCCTAAATATGAGGGTTACCATGTTTTTGTGCATAGATACCTCAAAAATCTTTTAATGATGGCAGTCATTCAAAGAATTGCAACAAAGACACTGTAGCAGGTGCTTCAGTCATCCAAAATCTGATCTTTGGCACTACTGACCTAGTCATCTTTGAGGAAGCCTGAGCCTGTGCTCACTTCACAGCAGCAATATGTGCCAATATGTGTGCCAAGGATGCCCACTGCTGGCTTGTTATCTTTGACATTTTAAGGCTCTCATGAGTGCTTTTGACTGGATCTTTTTTAAGACATGTAGATAATAAGGTGCTAGCAAACACTTTTCATTCTGAGTAAGGAAGTCAGTCCGAATTACTTAAAGGCAGCATCAAGATAACTAGGCTTAACAGAAAAGCATAGCTAAAAAGGCAAAACTAAAACAATGGAAAATTTTACACTAAGATAAACACAACTTGGTGAAAAAAGTAGTCCATTACAGAGTAGAAGTGCAAAAGGACCATGAGTGTAGAGTACTAGGAAAAGAAGAGAAGGATGGAGAAAGAAGATGAAACAGAGAGGAGTGTTATCACCAATACAGAAATCAAGGCAGCATGTAAACAGTTAGTTTGCATGACAGATCAGACATCTAGCAAACAAACAGCATCATCCTACTGCTTCTGAATAACCACCATACAATGTGTGTGGGGAAGAGTGAAAACTGTGAGAGCAAAATTAGCATTCAGTGTGTTCCCTGCGAAAGACCAATGCTACAGTTTCCTCTAAGAAGAAAAGACATTATAGCAAATTTGTCTGGTATGGAATTTTCCTTGGGCAGCCCATCCAGAAAACAATAACGGTCAAAGACAGTAAGCTACTGCTTTGCTTCCCATTTTATAATTTGCATCAAAACCAGCTTGCTTACCTGCCTGTGAACAGCTGATGATGTTACTATGACAGTGAGTTTCAGGGATGTTAATACTAATTTGCAAAATTTTCCCTCCTGGATTGGAGCCAGGTTAAAAATATACACACACATACATATTTATAGTATATTTATATTTATCTTAAGAAGCTACTGTCTCTCAATCTGTCACCAACTCTTACTCCGTTCCCTTTAGCCTCCAACTCCTCCAAAGAGCGGTGGCATGAGAAAGAGAACAATTTGCATACAGTGCTCTGTTGAGTGTGCTGGGTTTACAAATGTCTAGTAGGATTTAAATGACTGTTTGGTTGTCTCTGATATTAAAGCACTGGTTAGTGACTTCTGTTACTTAGATTTTCAATGCAATATAAAGTAATATAACATTTGACTTTTAAACTTAAAAAAAATGGATTAAGCAGCCAGAAATAGGTGAGAAATCACATTATCACAGGTAGTGTGGTTTTGGAGAAAGGTCATAATCCAACTAGTAATAACCTGGAAATGTTACATTTCTGGAGATCAAGCAATCCCTTGCCCTACATGAGGTACTTCATATTCTAGCATTTGCAAAGATGAGTAACAAGGTGTATAGACTTTGTGGGTGCTAAAAATGCATACAACATGAGAATCTGGGCAGCAGAGGATGCACACAAAGGACAGTCAAGGATGCAAGACTGTACGTAAATGAGTTGACTTTGAAGGTGCAGAATCTCTAACATCATGTTAAAGAGAATCTTCTATTTGTCTTTGTATACTTTAAACAAGCTTACTTGTCTCAATTTTTTAAAAAAAGTTTGCTTTATGAAAGCAAGATATAAAACTTAAAAATCACCTTTAATGGCTGCTAAATATCCTCTCAGTTCTCTCTGGAGTCTGGAACCCTCTGCCTGAAAAAGAAGAAAAGAAAAAAGCATGGAAGTGAAACATGTCAGTTATGTTTAATGCCTTGAAACATGCATGCAGTATGTTGAACAACTAAAAACAATTTCAGGACCCATCTAATTAATAGTGTCACATGTTGCAAGCATGCACAGATTCATAGGAAAAGAGGGTCTGGCAAAGGAGGCTTGCATAGTGTACTCTCTAGGCTAGAATTTCTGGGTTTATTTTATCAATCATCTGTACAGGGAAGAACTCCACCCAAAGAAAGACGGGTAAATTTTACAGCTAAGGTGCAGTTCAAGTCAGCTGGGCCTATGGCCTAATCTGAGACACAAAGAAGTATAATCAAAACTGGTGAACTTCCACTGGAAACCACTCAAATGAGGCCAGTTCAGATCCAAAGAGAGTTCTACCCTTACACAAGTTGTTTACTATATTTGCAAACAATTTCCCAAGCATTCTAAAATTTTAATATTTTGCAAGAAAATAAGTATTAAAATATAATAACGTTAGTTACTTTGTTTTGCTTGATTAGTGCATCTTGCAGTCTACTGTGAAATCTTGACTCTTTCTTTGGCAAATACATCAAAATTATCTTTCTTTCTCTTATACCAACAACCTTGTCAGAATAGAGAAAACAATGGATTTTGTTATTTTGTCTCTGATTGTACCACAAGTTGGACTTCACAGTTCTTATGATTTGCAAAGAAACCTGCAATAACCTGCAATAAATTTGCAAACAACCTTTACTTATTGCTAAAAAGATGCTGTCCAGGACACCTTCAATAGCCTGAAAATTTTTGAAAGAGTCCACATTTGCCAGTTTCCAATATTTTTCAAATAATTTTTGGAAACTACAGGAGTATCAGCTTGCAGCCATATTTTCTCACATACAGCTACACCATATGGAAAAATCAGAAGCAAAATATCACTGACAGCTTCAAAATATGACTGACTTCTTTGGAGTTTCATATTTTCCATGTGAAAAACAGAATCTAAAGGGTGCATGTGAATAATGTGAATATTTTAGAAGGCAGAAGGTATAAGCTGTTATAACTCAACTCAAAGGATGTCTGGTATCAGCAAAGGATTTGCCATCAGCAACTTCAATGCTCATAGAATTCAGACACAGAGGATCATAAGAAATTCAGTTTGATAGGGGCTATCTGATGTTTAAAATCCATCACAGCTGCAGCCATGTTAAGTCAAAATTGTGGTTCTGAAAAATATTTGTCTCACCAGTACAGAGTACAATGCAGGTCACACCCACCAAACTCACTTCTCTCAGCTTCTTGAAGGGAACTGAAGGCCTTTAGAATGGGATCATCAACAGCCCCACCCCCATCTCTCAAACTGTAGTGTACTATAAGAAGAGAGCAACTGTTTAATCTCCTGGAAATACTAAAGAATTTGGAAGGTAAAAATGCCTGTGTGGGCCTAGAAAGCAGACTGAATTCACTTTATAGATTCAACAAACAGAAGCTTCCTTTTATACTAGTTTGATCTGAAACAAGTCACGTACAGCTCTCAAATCTGTTAATCAACTAAAATCTGAGCACAGGAATACCACCAGGGGTATACCACCAGACCGTCAGGGTGCTATCTGAAAAGCTGCTGGGTAACATCAGGTATGAGCAGCCAGCCCACTAACCATTCTCTGGTTTGGGACCATATTTGATGCTTCAAGGAAAGGCAACCTCTTCCCCTGCTTTGGAATCAAAGCTGCCTATCAAAACAAGGGCCAGACAAGTGCAGGGTGATTATCAGTGGATTTAACCTCAGATTTAATAACTTGCAGAACAACAGAAAGTTCTGAAGTAGTAGCTTGATGTTGTGTTCTTTGAGAAAATATTATGCATACATTTTAAAACTTCTGTATTAAAATACTTTCAATACTTTTGTATTTGATTTATTACACTTTAATACTTTTAGCAGAAGATACTACCCTAAAGTGTCATTGCAACACATTATTTCATACTACATAACAGAGCAGAAGCTAACTTCATTCTGTGCTCAAGTAGTAGGCACGGGTCAGAAGTTGTCTGTTTTCCACGGACCAAGGCATTAAGTGATCCATGCTTCTACAGAGGAAAGGAGATTGTAACCAGGAGCAAATTTCTTGATCTCATGTCTGAAGAGGAGGATCAGCAAATGCTTGACAGAAACTAGATGGGAGTTGCCCTTTCATGCATGCCGTCTCCTCCTGGGAGGATCTCTTGTACTGTGAGAAGTCACATGAAGGCACAGAAGCTATCTTTTAATTTCATACCTTCTTTGGCCTGAGCTATTGTGGTAAAAATGGAAGGTATAGAAACTTGGTTCTTCATCATCTTCACCAGCTGAATAGGTGACTACATAGTAACAATTTTTAGTTATTGAAAAATCTCTGGTGTTCCAGAAGCAGCAAACCACAGCTGGAAGGGTGAGAGCCTCCTTAGCTGATTTCATGTCTAGTTTTATTCATACACATGATGTTTTGTCACTAGGGCTAAGCAGCACACCACAAATGCCAGGGAAACACATTGCTCAAACACTCTGTTTATAACTGTACTGCTGTGCAGCTTTACAACTGCTACCCTAAACCACTATTAGATCTGTTATGCTTGGTTACCATTGTGAGTCATCAGGAACTGCTGTTCAGGGAAATATGTAAGAAAAAGTCAAAGTAGTAAAACATGATGTAAGTATTTTGCCATATGTGCTGTTATGAGTTCTGACACTTCATTAAAAATAATAATTTTAATATGGATCTTCCTCAGTCTAAGTTATTAACAGGCCACAAACACCTGAAATAGCTAACCATGATAGAGTCACATGACTTTTCCTTCATTATCAATTGTTGTGTGATGTGACACTGAAAAATCCATGAGCAAGGGCCTGTTCCTACTGATTCTGAGAGATATTCTCTCAGTTTCAATGGCAACAAAATTAGACCTTTATAAAAATACCAGAAAAAAAAATAGCATCAAAAGCCCTCAGCACTGTTAATTCTGAAAAATGTGTATCTAGTCTACACATTTTCTATACTAAACTCATTATTAGTGAAGACAGATATACTTTTGTCATCTAACAGACTAATAAAAATTCATTTATTAGAAAATACCTCATTGCTGACTATGCACATCTTGCAAACTCTTACATATAGGTTTTTAAAAGTACTTTTTAAAAGATTGTAATGTATTTAATGTGTCCATTTACAGTGTTTATTGGTATACTCCTTCTACTTTCTGGTCTATCAAATGAAAATATCCAGTGGCTCTGAAACTACTGCTCCAAGTAGCTTCATTAAAGCCATGAATTTTGTTAAATGAGATCAACTTCTTGAGGGAGAATGGAAGGTAGCTGTCCTTTTACCAATGTTGTATCCCTATGAAATGAAATTTCCCAAGACAGTGCTGATGCTTCCTTTATAATTTCATAATTTCTTTCATTTACTCTACGTAAGTCAGCAAAATGAGTCAGAGTTTTATAAGATGTAAGAAACTCCAGAGGAAAGTGTTAACAGCAAACTTACAACTTGTTTGATAACACTATGCATGTTCTACCAGACTCCAGCACAAAAAATCAGTGCTCTTAGCTCACCTGATCAAACTCAGTACACAAATCACCAAAAATCTAGTACATAATCCTGTTTAACTTTACATAAGAGCAAGGGAGGCATGCCAACAACCCAAACCAACATCCATTTTTGGGAAAGTCAACACAATGTCCCAAGTAATAGTTTGTTGCTTTGAACAATGTAGCGTATCACCTTTCTGCTCTCTGGTCTCATCATATAGTCAGTATTACACAGCTGGTAAAGACATATGCACTCAGTGAGATAAGAAGGTTCAGTGTTTAAGCAATCTACAACCATAGGCCTTACATACCCTGACAGCAGCATTAGGCCTTTTCAGTACTACTGATTCTTGGGTATGTTTAGTTTCAGTTTTCTTTTAAATTTGTAGCTTTTAAGCATGTCTTAGCACTGGAAGTAAGAAAAAGAGCCACAGAAGTGTTGGCTGTGAGACTGACAAGACCTAAAAAAAGTTAATGATGAAAACTAAAGCGTCATAATTTCTGTCTAACCAGCTCTTGCTTCCTGTGGATTAGAAAATCTGTTGCATCCACTCAGAAATTAAAGATCCCCTTGCCTCCACAGAAGTTGTAATTGGATGTCCTATTTGCTAGGAATCATGAATTTACAGCTTTCCAGCCAGAACAGAAGAGTTTGATTTTTCTATCATGTCACATACAGGATGTAAACACAATACATCTTTCCAGGAAAGGTTAGCACATGAATGACATACAAAACCCAAATATATCACTCCAATTTAGTGAGAGGCAAGAGCATTAAACATATTGAAACTGAAGCACGGGGTAATTAATAACATATATAATAATAACAACAATAACAACAACAACAACAATTAAAAATGACAATTATTAATGCAGCTCTAATTAATACCAGAATTTCATAATTCTATTGCTAAGACATCAGAGAAATAGCTGAAAAGAAAACATTTTTTGTAACACCTGGAAGATATTCTTTATTGTAATGTGCTGTTACTTGTCAGAGTGTTGAGCAGTGCTGTCTCTTGTTCACAAACACTTTAGGTACTATTTACTGCTAGGTCTTTTACAGAACTATGTAGTATGAATGAAAATAACTTTTAAATTAAGAGAAGCTTAACATAATAAAAGACTACTTGGACAAATCAATATAAAATCTATCTTCTTTCCAGAGTACTCTATTTTACCATTTATCAATGTCATGGTTTAAAGGCAGGTGTCTGCTAAGGAAGGCGGGAACCTCTCTTGCAACAGAGAATATGACCCCCTTCCCTCTGAATTATTATAATTTTGAAACTAAGGGGCTTTCAGGCAAAGATATAATTAAAGGAATAATGTTTTTTTACTAGTATGCATATGGATAACAAGGCAATAGTGGGAGTGACGACAAACAGAACCACAAACCCAGTAAAGGCCTTCACTCGCCTGCAGGCACTTTCCCCTTTGGCGCAGG